ATAAATCAAAAAGTGCTTGGCTACAGTTTTCAGTTTTGTGCACTTGCTTTGTGTGTGCTATCTATGCGAAGTCCGGGACCCCGATTCACTTTGCTCCTGTCTCTACACTTTTTTTTTCTTTTCTATTTTATGAACTCTCATACCTCTCGCACTGGCCAGCTCATGTGAATTCCGGATTCCAGATGCCTAGCATGCCGCACTTTTGTGCGCTGGCGAGTCCACAGTTTAACATATTAAAAGTAAAGTAAGCGCCAGGACAAAAGCAGCCCGCCGTTGGGCCAGAGCACACGTCGTCCATTCTAGTTCTTATTATTCGCATTATTATTGTTGTTGTCGTCCATTCATCACTGGCGCGTTCCTGGCATGCCATTCACAACAATTTACAGCAAGAAAGCGCTTCGAAATTCGTAAATTTCCTGTTGCATTCCCCAGCGTCACTTCATAATTAGCAAACAGTCGAAATTGATGTAGCAAAGCCTCTCGCCTGATAGCCTTTATCGCTCAAGCATCGTGATAATGCAACTGTTTGCAAAACACTTCAAAGTAAGCGCATTTTTTATAGACAATGTGCGACGGCTGCAGCAAGAGCTGAGCTCGTGACACGAGTGCCAGCGATAGCTAACTCATCAAGTCAACTGACTGTGAGTAGTAGAGCTGGAGAACCATCGCTAGAGACGGTACTCGATGGTTTTCCCAACCATGGTTCAAACCATCGATATTATCGATGGTTCCATTGATGGTTCTCCAGCTCTAGTGGGTAGGTAGGGTATTTAAATGAATTTTTAACGTGAGTCTAAAACTCTTCTCGGGCAGTAAAGCAGTTCCAAGTTCTTGCTTGAAATGATTCGGAACTTAATTTAATTTTTAACGTGAGCCTAAAGTTCTTCTTGGTCACGAAACAATTCCAAGTTCTTTCCGTCTCTTGAGCGGCCTACTCCAATAGTACCAACTGTTTTCTCATTCGCTGCTCCTCTCAGTCAATGGGAGATAGCTAGCTCCCTGCTGGGACTTTGCTCCTTTGAAGAGAGGTCGTGAAACATTCCCAATGAATCGAAGAGGAATCGAAGCGGAATACCAGGACTCTGCCTTAACTTCTGCTGCTTCAGTGCTTGCCAAGATCCAAGATCTAATATCCCTGACAAGAAGAGTCCTATGCTGCTGCTGGGCTGCGCAAGAGTCTAAACCTGCCCTAAGTACAGCACACTCAACACCAGCTCAGTCAGCTGCACTGGCTCGCTTCTATTTGTATTAGGTACGCATGTGAGTCACGCGCTCATCTCTATCTGGGGAGCGCAGCATGCTTCTGGTCTTATCTCTGAGTCAGCTCGTCGCGTTTATCGTCGCTGTTGTCCTTGCACAAATTATTGAACAGCATTGAAAACATTTGAAGTGTTTCAGCTGAAAGCCAAGTGGCCAGCCCCAAAGACGTGCAGCCGGCGTAAAGGACCAAAAGGCATCGAACTCCACTGGGCTCACATGGGAGCCGAGACCGAGCAGCTGGAGCAGCTCCTTCGCCTGCTCTTGGCCAAGTGGCAAGGCGAATGCGAACGCGAACGCGAATGCTTTTATGCTTATTAATGGCACTACATGCAATTTATGTGCGGTAGTTAAAATGCTGCGGCAAATTAATGGCAGCTGGCAGAGCAATGCACTCGCCGGCCAGACTGCAGCGCCAAGGACCACATGGACTAGTTGCAATCACCTTTTGTTGCGCGTCCTTTGACATTAAGAGCTGATCGAATTGATTTCAGCGAAGCTAACTCAAATTTGTGCAAGCCTTTGCTTTCATTTGAAATTAGTTGAACATATTCTTCCTTGAGTTAGGGATATATATATAGTTGAGACGCTTTAACTATCTCTTACCCTTTAAGAGTTTCTGCTTAGCTTGACACGCATTGTCTCTAGATCATCAAATTTTAGCATCCATATCCTTTGTCACCCATAGCTGTTCTTTGTTCGTTAAACCCAACTGATTATTGGTTAATGTTTTCTCTATCGGCTCTACGCGTTGTTCTATATGCGTGTTATCGTAAAATCTAAGCAGCAAGCGCTTCATTAGCCACAGCTAAGCGAACTATAATCCTCTTTATGAGCACCTGGAAACTGTTTAGACTACGGCTAAAGCCTTTCCGCATAAGGAGAGAAAGAGCTTAGTGTCTCAGCGAGAGAAAGAGAGATAGAGAGAGAGTGAGACAGAGTGAGACAGAGACGGATTCGTTGCTCGTGGTTGCTAAACTTTTGCACAAAGGCCCAAGTGCAGGAGGAGGCGTTCGTAATGCTCCATTGGCCCACCCACTGCGGCGCCCAAGTGAGTGCAACTTTTGACTTTGCGTGAAACGTTTGGGGTTTTGCTAAGGGTTGCATGCGCCGAGGGAGGCGTTCGTTGGGCGGAGGGCAGAGAGCGGAGGTCGAGGGGTTTGCTGTTTCGCTTTGCGGCTGTTGCTAGCTACGAGGAAATTTATGGCCAATTCAATAAACGATTTTATTACATGCGCACGTTGTGTTAACAATGTTATTATTATTGGCGCTCTGTTCCGCAAAACTGTATAGAAAACCCCCATGCCCATCCATCCCAGCCATAGGGACTCGTTGCTGCAGGCAATGCGGCAAAGGGTTGATGGCTCTTGCCGGCTGGGCCAATTATTATTATGAAAATTAATTTATTTTCTATCGATAATGCAGGCGCCAAAAAGGCAAAACTCGCACGACTGCAAGTCCTTATCAACAGCTGCCCAGCTAACGCAGCTCCCTCTTCCTCTCTCTCTCTCACTTTCTTCTCTCTCTTTCTCTCTTTCTCTCTGTAACTAGCCATCGCTCTCTCTAACCCCCGCTGTCTGCCTGCATTCAGACTTTGGCGTGCATTTCGAAATGCTTTTACTTTGTTTGGAGCCCAAACTGTTGATATACCCAGCGCTTAATGAATGTGTGCTATAGGGTATGCCCATGCAGTGCCAGTTTTTGTAACGGGCAACAGTCCACCTTAGACTTGGAAGCTGAAACTTGAAAGTTTATATATGTATATGCATATATTCTTCTTCCTTCAAAGGCAGTTCGATAAGTTGAATATTATCGATACAAATCGATATTGGATTTTAAGTCTACCTTAGATTTGAAAGCTGATATATATGCATAGATTCTTATTCCTTTAAAGGCAGTTCGATATATTAAGTACTATCGATACAAATCGATATTGGCTTATGTATATACATATATTCTTCATTCTCCAAAGGCAGTTCGATATGTTAAAGATTATCGATAAAGATCGATATTGGCTCACAAATCCAAATCCAAATCCAAATCCAATATGTATATGTATATATTCTTCTTCCCTCAAAGACAGTATGATATCTTAAGAATTATCGATAAAAATCGATATTTCCTTAATTCAACGCTTTTAAGATCTACGTTCATAAAATATTACCACTGCATTTATTTAAAGGATTCCTGAGGTAGAGCTTTCATTTTTATTTCTACCCAGGGCATCTTCTAGGCTTGGCATACCCCATTCAAGCATACTTATTTGCTCTATTGTTAATGTTGTTGTTGTTGTTGTTGGCGCACCCACTGGATGTCAACGCTTTGCGCTTTTGTTTGCCCAACACAACAAAAGGCCAGCAGCACACTCACACACACACAAGCAAACAAACACACTCACACACACACATGAGTTGGGGTTTAGCTTATTTCCTGCAAATGCATTGAGTGTGTGTGTATGTGTGTGTGTGTGTGTACAAATATAAAGCTTAACAGGCGCACTCATGTGCAACGCAACAAGGCAACAAAAGTCTCATTACTTTTACTTGGCAAATAATAAAGCTAACGAAACAACAACAACAGCAACAACAACAATAACAATAACCATACAATTGTCAATTGACTTTAGCCATGCAACAACAACAGCACACACAGACACATGAACACACACGCACGCACCGTCAGGTATATAATTGCTCCACTACTCTTATAAGCAAGTTAGCTGAACTAGTTGTATACCCTGTAAATAGAGCAAAAGGATGGATAAAGCAGAGGATGGCACAGTCATATAAAGAGACGGGCGAATGGATGGACGGACGGAAGGATAAACAGAGAGATAGACGGACGGATAGAAAGAGACTCGGACAGACGGTCGAATGGACAGACGGATGGATACATAGACAGATAGGCGGACGGATATAGAGATGAGACGAATAGACGGACGGACAGAGACAGGTGCGGCCGATCGGCCAAAAGGACGTATAGGCGGTCAAATGGATAAACAGATAGATAGACGGACAGACAATTAAAAGTGCGCATGGACGAAAGGACGGACGGATGGATACATAGACAGATAGACGGTCGAACAGGGAGAAGTACGGACGGTCGGACGGAGGGAAGACAAAGATATATATGGGCGAACAGAGAAAGGTGAGATGGACGGACGGATGGGTAAGCAAACAGATACATATATGGGCGCAGAGAAAGGGGCTCGGACAGATGGATATATGGACGGACTGAAGGAAAAACAGAGAGATATACGGATGAGCAGAGACAGGCTCGGACAGACGGTCGAAGGAACGATCGCATAGATTACCAGAAAGGTAGACTGACGGACAGAGAGAGGCGCAGCCGATCGGACGGAGGGACGGCAGAGAGATTTACGGACGAACATAGAAAGGTGGAATGGACGGACAAAAGGAGTGTCAAATAGATGAACAAAGGGAGACCCCGACAGGCGGACAGACAAAAACACAGAAGAACAGACGGACGGATGGACAGACACTTACACAGACGGACGGACGGAAAGACAAATAGACAATCATAAGCCACACACACCCATTAGCAAACCATACAGGGTAGCGCCTAGTCCATCAATCAGCAGCAGGAGCAATCATTCGGTTTTCGCATTAAGAAATTGATTGGAGCAACTCCATTGGAGCTACAAAAGCAACTTTCATTAAGGAACTAGTTTATTCTCCAGTTAAATGCGAATCCAAATCATTTGAAATTTACTGAACACAATGAGAGCAAAGGAAAAAGAATCAAAAATTTTAAACAAAGTTATTTCGTCCCAATCTGGTAAATGCGATTTGCAAATGGTATTTCGTGCTCCTGAAACAGCAGAGCGTCCTCCCGAGTCTGGGCCGTGAGCTCCTCAATCTGCAAGTGGCTCGAGGACCAGCAGATGACCAGGCAACGCTCAATATTATCGCCCGAGAAACGTGAATTGCCAAAGGCGTGGCAGCTGGGCCGGCTGCGCGGGCAGGGCACGGGGCAACTGATGATCTGAAGTGGCTGCAGCTTGATGGTGCAGTTGAAGGGAGTGTGCAGGATGCAGAGCAGCACGAACGACTGGTTTGTGAACGTGAACGTGGCGTAAACATGAACGGGATCCACGGCCATCGAGTTGATGGGGCCACCCATGCATTGGTTCCAGTTGCAAAGGAAGCGGCCCAGATCGATGACCTCCCTGGTGGTCCACACCTTATGGTGCTGCTTGAAGAAGCCAAAGTCCTTGCTCGCGCTGGCGCCCATCACCTTGCTGGAGCCCTTGGGCACATAGAGCAGGTGGTTGCCCTTGCCTGTCCACGCGGCCGTCTGCAGGGGCATGCGCTTGACCAGCTTGTTGCTCATGGCGTCAATGTTGTTGCGATAGCCGTACAGAGCGCAGCGCTCCCTAATGTAGTAGATCAGGTACATCAAGTCCAGGGGATGGCGCAGCGCCCAGCAGTTGGTGCCCGAGACGGGCATATAGAGCTCCTGCAGCACCAGCCTCATGGTCGGATGCCAGATCTGTATACGTTGATTGCCCAGCGAGGCGCTGCCCAGGAGGCTGCCCCCCTGGAGCCACTGCAGATCGTAGATGAACTCCTCCTCGCGATAGCCGCACCAGGTCATTGTCTTGACGCCCTCCTTCGAGATCGTCCACATGCTGATCCCGCCCTCCCCGCCGACCGCCAAGTGAATGCCGTCCCAGGGTCGAAAGGCGGCGCAGCTGATATTGCGCTGCTTCGATGATACCAGATAGTAGGGCTTCAGGCGCATATCATTATAGACCAGGGCCATATCGTCGCTGGTGAGCAGACAGCGCTTATTGTCCGTCGGATGGCAGACGACATAACGTATCCTGCTCGTCTTAAAGTCGAGCGTCTCCGAACTGGCTGCCAAATCATCGATGCTCGCCAGCCCAGTGCCGTAGCTATGGTGACTCCAGCTGCTGATTCGATCGCACAGCCGAAGATATTTCAACTTGAGCCTACCGAAATTGTCGACGAGGCACTTGTAGAACTCCAAGACTCTGTCCAGCACACGCCGGATGGGCGACGGCTCCTGATAATTGTTCACGGGCACGGGACGAAGGCGAGCCATTCTATTACGCATCATCAATTCATTCACGTTGTGCATCATATTTGCCGTATCTGGAACAATGTACGTAGAATTATTTATATTTATTTTTGGTTTATTTATTTTTGGTTTATTTTTTTTTTTTTTGGAAAAATTTTTAGCTCTGCGCTTCAGTAGAAAATGATTGGGAATGAATTTTTGTCGTCAGGCATCGAGAGATATGCCTCGCTCGCTACGCCTACTTTGATGCAAAAATTTCGGCATTATAAAATCGATTATTTTGCCTCCATTGGCGATTGTAAAGTATCGAAAAGTGGTCACAATCGATAATCGATAATATATAAGAGAATAACTGACATATATCTGCTTTAGTTCCGCCTAGAAATAAAGAAATAATTCGCAATTCAAATTCAATTAAGACTTGATAAATCTAATCTAAATAAAGTATATATATAACCGCAGGAAAGACAGACGAGCTGCGTCGCTGAAGCTTGAATTTGCGCATAGCTGCTTATTCAGGTTGCACAATCGTTTTGCGCAATCATGCTGGCACTCAATTTAATTGATTTTAAAGCTGCTGCCAGACCGGGCCAAAGCCAGAAAGACAAGGAAACAAAAAATTGACTGCGAGCGGCTTGGGGGCTGGGCCAGGGGCTAGTTAGAGTACAGGCTAGGTCTTGTCCATAAAACAATTGAGGGGCATATGCAGCCGCAGTCGAAAGAATGCGTAACAGGTTAGAAGCCCAGCCGAGTGAAACCCAAAAAGTCAGCTCTCGAAACTTTTGTACAGCAGCAGTTGGGCTCATGGCCCGGCCGGAGCAGCGGACGGATGGGCGGGCGGGGACTTTTGGTTTTTGGCTTTTTCGGTTCGGGGTTCGGTTTCAGTTTCAGCTCTGTGAACGGTTCGGTCAGGCGGCTTTTGAGTGTTTTTCACCTGAGCTCAAACTTAAGTGGCGAAACTTGATTAAACTACACCCACACAGACAGACAAACGCACACACACACACACACACAGAAACTTTCGACTTGCAGCTAGTGTGACACAGAGAGGGAGAGGGGAGGGCGAGGGAGAGGTAGAGAGTGGTGCCGGAAGTCCAAGGACTACGTACAGGGATTTACTTGCGGTAGTGCAGCCAACGACAAAGAGTTGACTTCTCTCAACGTTTTTATGCGATGCACAATGGCCACAGTTGCAGCTACAATATATTATAAAAGGAAAATACGCTGTAAAAACCGAAGCTCACACAATGAGGTAGATTAGCTGGAGAGTAGATATGACAGCGACTTGCAGAGAAGTCAAGTCGTGACTTATTGAGTGGACAGCTGCTTGAGCCAGACTTGACAAACTTCTTTATAAGCACATATGCATACCCTACATACCCTACATTTCACTATCTGCTCTTAAATTAAATACACATTTATATAGCTCTTCATACTTAAAACGTTTATTTATGCACACAAAATTCGTTTACAAATTTCAGGCTCATCAAGAACTAAAAAAGAAAAAAACTTTACTCATTTACAGGATATGTCCAAGTCGAGCAGCTTACTGAATTCCCTTTGCAGCTGATGTCTCAGTAGAACTGCAGTGGCAAGTCCAGCGCATATTCTTGCTGTTGCTCCACGTGGGGCACGACCGCAGCTGGAGCTGCAGCCGCCACAAGCTGTGGCACAGCTGGTGGCAAGTAAGCATTGCCCGGTGGCAGCAGAGCTGCCCAGGCGGCGCTGTCAAAGAGCCCGCAGATAAACAACAATAGCAGCAGCAGCAGCAGCAGCATCTTGAGCCGTACCCAGATTCACTTGTGAACTGTTCACTGGTTCCGCTCAGGCAGCTCCTTTTATAGCAGCGGCAGAGCCAACGAAGCCAAGGCTAGAAATCAAAAGATCGACTGATTGAAATTGCAAATGAAGCTCCACACCAAATGCAGCCAGATACCCTGTGCATAAGCTGTGAGGGGTATGACATGCAGGAGAGTTTATTAAGTTTTTTAATTATTGTATTTCAGCAGCTAATTTAAAAGTTCTTCTTCTTCTGCTTAAGCTATGCACGATCATCGGAATCACGCCAACTATCGACAGCCGTATATCGATTGATGTATATCTATTGGTATGCTTCCGTTCTCGTTAATATTCCATTGGCCTACTAGAGACATATTTAAGTTTTATTGAAATGGAAGTTCACTATTTTCAGTCTTAATTTCTAGATTCTAGATCTAGCCAAAATCGATAAATATCGTTATCTACAACTTCAACTCTTGGAGCATATTTTTCTCTAGTAACTACAGACTAACTGAAATAAATATATTTAAATATTAAGCACATTCTAAGTTTAACATAATTTTCTATTAAATGCATATTTTATTCACATATCGATAATTATCGATTAGATAAGGCATCTCCAAGTCGATCATTCTAGAGTGCGAACTTGTTGCCCAAGCTAATTATAATTATTAAGGTTGAATACATTAAGATTATCGCGCACTGTCATGATACTCTGTAATGCATATGGCATGGGCTATTCTCAAGCTTTAGTATTTTATTTCTTACTTTCCTATATTTTGTATGTATATTCTAAGTAGTTATCTATTTACAGGGTATGTGCTCAGTCAGGCAACTCTTCATAAATATGCGCTATATGGCTTCTCATATTTAATATAAATGCATTGGGCTCATTCCCAACTTACAGGGTATATGCGAGTCAGGCACTTACTGTCATTATGAAAGGCTTCAGCTGCTTCTTGGCTTTAATGAATCCCCCGGCACTTGAAGATCTTATCACGCATGCATTACGATACCTCAGCAGACAGAATTCAGTTCAGTTCATTCCTATTCGTGCGAATTTCCCAGTTTTTTGTCAGCCTCAGCTCTTATACGACTGAGCTGGACGGCAGAGCTCGGCCGGTGCGTACGATTGGGATGTTCGGCTGGCGCATGCGCTGGGCGTCTTTCGCCAGCCGACGAATTGCAGCGTTTCCCGCCAAAGGCCCGCTGAGCGGCCAGCGGGCGGTCAGGGCGGGGGCGAGTTTTGTTTACCTTTGTTATCAGCGCTTATCAGACGCTGCGCCGACATCCTGACGAGCCTCAAGTGTGTGCCCATTGGTGGGAATCTCTGGGAATGCGATGACAAACGGGCGTGGGTGGGCCTGTAGCGTGGGTGTGGCAGCCAGCCAGCCAGCCAAGGCAGGCCTTCAAGCCAAAGTCAATGTCCCAAACACATCAATTACTCGCGCCGAAGTCATTTGAATGACGCGAAATGTTGGCAAACTGCATTCACATCATTCATCATTCAAACGGCGCACATTCCATTCCATTCAGCTAATGGCCTACATTAATTCCAGAGCTCCGAATGAGTTACAGCCAGCCAGCGAATTAGGCATTCCACAGCAACTTCTCACATTGTTTTGTAAACTAAAAGTTCCAATATAGTTTTAGTACAATTGAAAGCTATAAAGTGTTTGATAATACATATACAATCGAGTCCGGTTATAAGAACGTTGAAGGGTCAATCGGTAGAGCCAGAAGACGCTTGAACTGTATAAGTTGGCTCAGATAAGTTAGTCTGGGCACCAGAATTTTCAACTTACGAATGCTGTAAGCGGAGTCTTTATAAGCGGATTCTACTGTATTCTGATTTTATAAGAGAAATTTCAATGACCATACAACTAGCTCGTATTTCCGAGTAAGACTTTCTCCTTGGCCGTGGGTTAATCATCAGCGACTGTGAGCGATTACGAGATACATAATCAATATAGTAAATATAGCTCATATTTCCAAGTAAGATCTTCTCCTAGGGCCGTGGGTTAATCATCAGCGAGCGATTACGAGATACGTAATCAATATAGTCTTGGGAGAAATTGTATCAAACTATAAGTAATCCAGGCTACTTAGTTTAAGGAATGGCTCAGTAAAAACCCTGTAAAAGCTACCATATACAGTTTATCTCTCGGGCTAGATACTTGCTTACAGAAAGCTCATAGAAAATGGACATCTATGGAGCATAAGACAGACAGAAGTGGGAGAGGTTGAATGCATATAATGTATATATTGATCAGAATAAAATAGAGAGGCCTTTATAACTTTTTTCCGTACTCCTTTTGTCCGTACCGTCTTTCATCGCATCCATACAGCATATATATGCAATTGAACAGAGATCAGATTAATCACATACATCGATCAATTATATCCGTATACTTTAAGCCCTTATCCTTCCACTCATTCACCAGTTCGTACCGGCATTCGTACCTCCGCCCGTACCTGCATCTGCATCTACCCGCCCGTGCTAGGTAGAAGCTTATGGCTATGATTGCAGCATGAGCTCCTCACATTATTCCGAGTATCTCTAGCCCACACATTGTTGTTGTTGTTGGGCGCTCTAATAGACATGTCTAGAAATCAGTGAGTCGCCGCTGCTTGTTATCCTAGTGCTGGACTGGAGGGAGAAGCACATATCGTACATTGTGTGCAACATGATGACAACATTTGTTGCTTGCAACCATATGAGTGGGGTACGCTCCACTTTCCACTTGCCACTTGCCACTTGGCAGTTGCTCGTTGCCCGTTGCTCGTCATCGAGTGCCTGAATCCTTGCCAACTGCTGGCCAGGCAGTCGTCTCCCTTTTGCAACACTTCCGGCATTTAAGCAAACAAAATATGTAGCAAGCAGTTGCAGGCAGCTGCAGCAGCGGCCTCAGTGTTTCGGGTGTAGTCGCATTTGTGTGCCACATGCGCCATGTTGCATGCCGCATGCCCCACATGTGTAGGCGGAAAATGCGGCCATGTAGGCTAATGAGTTCGCTTTATGTCCGACCTCCGAGCTGTTATTGTTGCTCTCTCTCTCTCTCTCTCTCGCTCTCTTTGCCCACTCCTGCTGCTCCTCCCTCCTACGGTTACGCTTCTGCTTCTACTTCTTCTGCTTCTTCGTGTGCTCTCCGGCTTGTTTTGCTGCTGTTGTTGGTTAACGAGGCCGCCACATTCTGTGGCACGACTGCCCCCTCAACCCCACGCCCTCCTTTCCCCCTTCTCCTCTAGCATGAAAACAAATGCTTGTGGCGGTGTCATAATGGAAATGTAAATGAAAATAAGGCAACGGTATTTGGTATTTGGTGCGCAACTCTAGCGTACGGGTTGTCAGCGCTTGACAGCCTGCAGGCAGACACGCAGAGTCGGAAACGGAACAGGACTTGGCTAAACATTCAATGGATAAAGTTGTGACATCTTTATTTTAATGAGTTTAGCCAAATGGATCAATTAAACTCGTCTGCATTCCGTATACCAGCCACAAATGGAACTGCTAATAATTGAGAATCACATAGAAGAGCCCGATATGTAAGCGCAGGTAGAGTAAGTTCTTCAAGTGGAATACAGAAGCCGTACAGCCGTACGTACTAGACGTAGCTCGACTATCCACCTAAAATCCTAAAATTGAATTGAAAAACTTGTTCCTATATCTGGTTTCTGAACATTCGCTTTATTAGGAGTATAACATATATAGGGTTTACATACATACATGTAGCATCAGGGTATATATACTCAGTTATGGGTCCAGGTAACGCCTTAGCCAGACGACGCGCTGACTGAGCAGCTCGAGCAGAAAGACGAGCACAGAGGCCAGCAGCAGGATATAGCAAATAAAGTTGAGGCCGTAGAACATCTCGAGCCGTAGCGCCGAGACCTCGTGCGAGGCGTACGGCATGTGGAACATGGGTGGCTCGAAATTGCGACTGATGTGCCCAACAATGCCGGCCGATTGGAGCTGCTTGAGCTTGCGATCGAAGGCGAACTTCAGAATCGAGTGCCGATGCAGGCACATGACCAGCTGCACCAGATAGATGTGCTCCTTGACATGGGTCAGGCGGCTGCTCTGCCAGTTCTCGTCGTTGTAGTGGGCCAGGCTGCCCAGCAGGGCGCTGGTCGTCAGGCGCGCCCCATCCTCGGCCGCTTGCAGCTCGTCGAAGCGCTCCACGATGCTCGTCCTGCGCAGCAGACTGCGCTGCGCCGGAAAGTAGTCATCGTAGTCGGTGGTCAGGTATTGGTAGTGGCCCTCGAGCAGCTCGACGATGTGCTCCGGCGCTGGCGGATAGTAGGGCAGCCGGAAGGCGTCGTACAGCTTGCCCTGGTAGGCGGCGCGCTGCACCAGCGCCAGCAGCAGCCAGGCGCCCAGATAGCAGCGCACGAGGCTCGCTCGCGGCAGAGCGGCTGCGTCCAGTGGATTGCCCAAGAGCGTGGTGTGGACGCGCAAGCCACTGGCCACCACATCGAAGGGCACGCTCTGGCTGTGGCTCTGGCTCTGACGCCACAGCCACTGCAGCAGGAGCAGGGCCAGGCAGGAGACGACCAGGGCCAGCCAGACGATGGGGCAGAACGGCTGCACCAGCTGATTCACAGCGCCCATGTGCTGATCCACGCGCACCACAAACACCAGGGCGCTCTGGTGGTACGCGCTGGTGGTGGAGAAGTTCGCCCGGTACATGTGCGAGCCGCTCATGGCGCCAATGATCACGGACGAGTTCTGGGACGCCAGCTCACGGAAACAGTCCGCGATGCTGGCGTTCAGCTCCAGTGCAGCTGACTTCTGCTCGCACGGCGGCAGCAGATTCAAACGGAACTTGAAGATGCTCGCCAGCAGCTTGATCAGCTCGCCATCGACGCCCGTCAGGCGCCAGGTCTCGGTGAGCTGCTTGGGATCATGCCGGTCGCCATCGAACATCACGTACGGCGGCAACGGATACCAGCTAATGTTCAACGGGCAGCCGTAGAAGGTGCCCAGGTGGCGGCCAAAGAGCGGCTCCTGCCGCAGCAGCTCGCCGCGCTCATACCGATCGAGCAGCTCCGGCGTGAAGGAGACATTGCAGCTGAGCGCATAGAGGCGAAAGCCATACAGATGCACCACGTCCGCTGTCAGCCAGCCGGGCTGCACCAGCACCACGGCGTTCATCACGTGAAATCTGAGGCAGGTCCTGAAGATGCTGTAGAGGGATGCGATCAGGGATTTCTCTGTGTCGGCTCGCCAGCTGAGCACGATCACGAAATTGAACTCGCGGTCGAAGAGCGTCTTGGCAAAGTGAAAGCGCAGCTCGGCAAATGAATGCGGCGTGTCCACCAGGAACAGTATGTAGTCGCGCGGCTCCTCAATGGGCGTGGCATTCAGCATTTGCACCGACATCCGTTCTCCCAGCTCATGCAGCAAATAGTCCAAGGCCAGGTCCAGCTCGAGCTGGGAGCGCCGCGAGTGCGACATCTGCATGACGCTCATCGCATTGTAGCTGGGGCTGATGTGATGCCTCAGCACGTGCACTGCAGCTCGATCCACTGCCCTTGGCCGATAGCTCTCGGCTGGCTGCACTGCAGCCAAGCAGCGGGCCAACAAAAGCAGCAACAGCCACAGCCGCAGCCACAGCCGAAGAGAGCCCAACATTGCGATGGCACATGCGAACCAGTTCGAACCGTAGTCCCATTCAAACTGCGCCACGCAGTCGCCAGTTGAGCTAATTCCGTTAATTGCAATGGGGACGAACGCAATTCATTAAATTCGGAGATAAGCCAGATCGCAGATACCGCAAGTGCCAGGCGATGTTATAGAGTGGCTAAGGAATAGCTGGAACTGGTTTCCGCTCGCAATTGGCTCAGCCGTAACGGATCAGACAAGGCAGAAACTTCAGATTATGGAATAGAGAAATTGGGGGGATTTAAAATACATAGAGTGTATGGGATACATCGAATAAATAGAATACATAGAATAATTAGACTACATAGAATGCATAGAATACATAAATTGTATACACATAAATTGTATATAGAATACATAGAATGTATATGTATATATAGATTGTATATAGAATACATAGAGTAGGTTAAATAAAATACATAAAATACATAAAATACATAGAATACATAGAATATACAGATTACAAAGAATACATAGATTACATAGACTACACAGATTACATAGAATACAGAGGATACATAGAGTACATAGAATACAGAAGATATAGAGGATGCATAGAATATGTATACATATATAGCTTGTATATAGAATACATAGAATTGATTACATAGCATACACAGATTACATAGAATACATAGAATAAATAGAAGACATAGAACGCATAGAATACATAGAATACACAGATTACATAGAATACATAGAATAAATAGAAGACATAGAATGCATAGAATACATAGAATGTATATAGATAGAATAGATTACATAGAATACATAGAATGCATACAATACATAGAATACACAGATTACATAAAATACATACACATAAAATAGATCACATAGAATATACTGATTACATACAATACATAGAATACAAAAATGACATAGAAAACCTAGATTACACAGATTACATAAAATACATAGAACGTATATAGAATACATAGAACAGATTACATAAAATACATAGAATACATAGAATACACAGATTACATATAATACAAAGGATGCAAAAAACATAGATTTCACAGATAACAGAAGACATAGAATGTAAATACATTATGTATAATATATATAGAGTACATAGAATAGATTACATAGAATATACTGATTACATATAATACATAGAATTCACATATCTTACATTACATAGAGCTCATCAAACTCATAGACCATTTACATATGTAGGGAACATAGCATAGATCACAGAACATAGCATGGACCATAACCTAGAATACATAAATTTCAAATTTTATGTATTTTTTGGATAACAACATAGAACAGGCAGTACGTATACTTAATATCTAAGCAAAATTCACTATAAATTCCTATGCAAGCCAGCATAGAGTACAACTTATTGAACATGAGCGTGCACATGGCAACTGGCTCGGTATGGCAACGCCACATTGTCGCACAGTGTGGCAACTCTTCGTGAGGTAATTGCGCACAGGCGACTTGTGACATTTGACTTGAGAGTTTCGAGTTGAAGTTGGAGTTTGGAGTTTTGCAAGCTGCTTGCATTTATTTCCATGCCATTTCAGCTCAGTTCTCAGCCCAAAACTCATAATTACCAGCGCAAGTTTCACACACACACACACACACACACACACACACACACACACACACACACACAC